ATACTGTTTGTGAGATTCAGATTCTTTCTGAAAGTCTTCTTCTCGTTGCCAGCCTGGTGTGAGGAGTGGTTATTTTTTCTCAAAAAGTGGATCTTTTTGCAATTATATGCCTCATTTTCTATTGAATTATGAAATGTAAATACTGCAGTTTAGTGACATTTTAAGCACTATTCTGAGTTTATTGCCGGATGGTCATCATAACCACACTTTTTGACTATTTTAGCCAAAAGAGTAGTCAAATAAATACTAATATGGGCCACTTATGGTGCTTCACCTTTATTATTTTTTTGCTCATTTTTAGTTTTAAGAATAAGGTACAAGATTTAGAATAAAGGTTACTTTTAAAATGTTATTTAAAAACAAAACAATAATGAAGAATGTATGTTAGATAGATGATGTAAAGTGTTTGTTAGCATTGGCCAAAACTGATTAGCTGAAGTCACACAGAAGCTACAGCCAACAGAGGATTCCACATTGTCTTAAAGCCTTTTCCGGTGGCTTATTTTTACCATGATGGCATAGCAGTCAAAATTTGACAAATAAGCTCATGTATTGGACAAATTCCTTTATATATATATATCTAAAAAGTGTCACTTCGTGCCATGCTCTCTCCTATATATATATATATATATATAGGAGAGAGCATGGCACGAAGTGACACTTTTTGGTTTTGGCCAAATAATAAACAAAGTAATGGGGTTAGACAAACCATATTTTATTTACCAGCAACACGCAAGCCTCTCCTACAAATGAGCACTGAAAGTATGACCACCGGATCTTTGGTTTCTGTGCAGTATTGCCAAAATGCCAAAGGTGCCAGGAGTATAAATGTTACTATTTACCCCACCTGTGGGGCAAGTTGTAACAGACAGAGGGTTAGTTTTAACACATGTTTAAAAAGGCAGATTTCACACTATTAATTTAAATTAAGTTTACTTTAAATAGTGTATTTCCTCAGTAGCTAATTTTTATTATGTTAGTATTTTTATTTATGTATTTATCTATTGGATAAACACATTTGCCTTATTATCTATTACTTTGCAATGCTTTTATTTACATTATTACCAAAAAAAAATATTTGTTTCAATTAAAAAACATTTTTTATTAAAAAACTTTTTTCTTTTTTTAAAGTTCTCAACATTACACTCAAAATTCAAAAAACATATTTTGTTTGTTAAACTGATGTCCAACTGTGTATGGCTTAATTGTAACACCCTGTTACAACTAACCATGCTGTGTTTTGTTTCCCTCAAAACTGGCTAGCAGTCACTGTGTTTTTTACATCTTTTAAAATGGTTCCATTTTTTAGCGTAGAAGACGGTAATCACAACAATATAAGATTTTTCGTACATACGTTCATAACTTCACATATTCTTTTAAAATAAAAAAAAATATTGACTATGATAAAAATTACTCATCCAAATTTGACCAAACTTTTTCAAAAATCGCCAAAAAGATGTCTGCCGACACTGTGGTGAACACCTCGGAAGCATGCCATGGTTAAATCTGAGCAAATACCTTAAAACTCCCCACGTTACTTTGTGCCGTGTGCTCATATATTTGAGCTATATATATATATATATATATATATATACTACTACTCCGTCTGAGAAGAAAGGGAGAATGATGGGGAAGGTAGGGGCAAAACAGAGATCTTTAATTCTAATTTAACATAATTTTTTGTTTGTTTCATTAATTGTTGAGCTACAAAAAAGCAAGCTGAAATTACACTCCTCAGTTAAATGTTCTGAATGAATCCTTTTTTTATGTTAGAATGTAAATACTGTTATGTGATGGATAGTGGACAATGCACAAGACATTGTGTTCTAAATGGGACTGTTGATGTTTTATTGTAAGTTCATTGTAAAACGTAAAAATAATAACAATATAAGTTTAAATATTATTATTTTAGGAATTTAACATGGAAATTTATTGTAATACAGTTTGGTATGTTTACCTTTGGCCCGCCAAGGTTTGGTTTTTGACCCTTTATAAGAGAAAGTTTGGGCACCCCTGTTCTATAATATCAGCACTCATATATCATAATCCTCTCACAATTAATATACTCAATTTTTGTGGAAGCACAGAATATTTTATTGCAGAGTTTGCACAGGAGAGTAAACACTAATTATACATAAACCAACATGCAAGGAAACCAGTCTAAAATATATTATTGTGGACACAAATAATACAGAAAACAGCTAACAAATAATATGTATAACAACACTTAAGCTGCACATTAACTGACACTTTTTTCTTATATTTACAGTAGCACCTTGAAACACTTCAAATATAGCACATTTAATTGAAATATTTAGAATAATGATGTTATTCTGGCATAATTGCTTTTAGTTTTAAAGGAGTAATTATATTACTTAAAATATGCAAAAATATGCTGAATGCAGTGATCTAGTTTAGATCATGTGTACTTTTTCATATCTAATATTTTCATAAAAAGGGCTTTGCCTAATCAAATTTAAAAATACCTGTGATATGAGTTACATTTGGGTACAAATGGTGTCAAAAGATAATATTTCCTTTTCTTTGATGATCATGAAGCAGATTTCTCCAAGCTGTTGTTACAGTCACTATTTTCATTTTAACATCCTCTACTTAAATTTCAGTCTGTTCTTCTCTAATTTCATGCATTTGGTTTATTGTGTTACATTTTTGACACTTTTTAAACTTCTTATCAAACATTACAAGAACATTTGAGACTTTATTAAGGCCCAGATATACCTCCTAGTGATAATGAAAGTCAAATTGATAAGACACAATAGGTCAGGTCAAATAGAAATAAATATAGGCTTAATTCAAAGACTATATTTCGAGAGATAAAACAACTTGCAAGAGCAAACTTTTTAGAAAAGTTCAATTTACCATTGGTCCATGGCATAAAGCTGTGGTCACACTGGACTTTTCTCCCCATAGACTTCCATTCATACGCATGCGAATGCGTCAGACTGAAAACGCAAGCTCATGCGACAAGTTTTGCAGTTCGATGCATTGCAGAGTTCAAGCTTGGTGAACTCTGACCTGCGAAATCGCATCACTTGATTGTGTGAGACCAACCGAGGTTCAAACATGACCTCTCTGTACAGAAATTTAAAATATAGACCAATAGCTCGCTTTTTTAAATGTCTAATAATCTTGTTTAATCCCGCACCTTTTCACAGCACTGTACAACGAATTTCGCATGCTCAAACTCTAGTGTGGCCGCAGCATGACTCTTTTGAACACCTGGATTGTTTGGATCAGCTGTGTTTGATTAGAGTTGGAGCAGAACTGTGCAGAGCTGCGGCTGTCCAGGAATTGAGTTTGAGACCTACGGTCCATGGTGATGATGCAATAGATGGGTATGTGTCTCTGGGTGTCCGCCCTTAAAATCTTACCCAGTTCAATTTATTCTAAACCAGGTGTGCTCAACCCTGTCCCTGGAGATCTAGCTTCCTGCAGATTTCAGCTCCAACCTTGACAAACACACATGAGCTAATTAATTTGGACCTGATCAGCAGTTGTAATTACAGGCAGGTGTGTTTGATATTGGTTGCAATTGAAACCAGCAGGAACACAGCAAGCATTCTTTGTTTTAAAAAAATGTCTAATAGACGTCTAAACAAAGTCGTCTTGGCTAAAGCAAGGCTAAAGTTGGGTTGTCAGTGAAATAGACATCTAAGAATAGGCCAAAATTAGACTAGTCATCAAATGAACAGAAATAAATGACTCCACATATAAGGTCTTTCTAATCTGTTTATTTGATGACTAGTCTAGTTTTAGGCTATTCTTAGATGTGTATTAGATTTTCACTGACAGCCCAAGTTTAGCCTTATTTTAACCCAGCTGTCTACGTTTAGACATTAAGGCCCAATCCCAATTCTATTTTTGTACCCCTACCCCTTCCCCTTCCCCTTGGCCCTTAAAACCAAATGTAAAGGGGAAGAGCTTCAAAATTTACCCCTAAGAGATGGGACACCACTACAGCACCTGCACATGTCATCATATGTCATCGCGATCTGTTAAATATGATCCGCAATAACTTTACACCTTGTTGTGGGCTGCATGCTCAGCCCTTTTATATGTCAAGAGGAATTTATTAAGTTTTACAGTTAGAGCAGATTTTCCTTATTATAGTAGCCATAGTAGTATTATTGTAGCTGTTTTTTTAATCAGTGTAAAGAATAACTGGATGTTTACAAAAGATTTTGATATTGGTAAAGCCGTCTGCAACTTTTGTGAAGCACCAAACATGTTTATGACTGCATTAATGTATTATTCCTTTTTTTAAAAAGTCACATATTGTGCATGTCTATTATCATACACAAATTGTACTAAATCGATCTAAAAAGTTTTCTCTTTGGACCACCAGGTGGCAGTCTTTGTACTTTCATTTCGGGGGTGCAGAGTTGAGATTGCAGGGTGCAGAAGTTTTATTTTTATATATTATTTTTATCCATATATATATATATATATATATATATATATATATATATATATATATATATATATATATATATATAGTTAAACATATCTTTTCCAATTGTATATAACTACTACTGTAAGAAATTATCAGAATTCGGTACATACTTTCAGTATTTTCTTTGCTTGAACTGACCCGATATAATCCTGTTTATTGACCTTATTCTCCGCCGACGAGTGGGCGCTGCCATTTGAATCTTTTTGGCTCGAGACTTCCGGTCTCATTCACTTCCATTCATTTTTAGACATTAAAAACTGCTCATTACGCTGCTTGATGTTGCAATTTGATATTTTCTTGTTATATTATTCTACTTGGTCTGTATAGTCATGCAAAAATTTGTTTGTAGAGAAAGTAGTTTGACCGTTTTCTGCCGTTAATTATTCCAAGTCATTTCTCCCATAGGCGACTGAATCGGAAGTTCTAAGACAATCGCGAAAACAGGCACACTTCCGCATTTTAGAATAAGATCAATATGAAATGAGCCTGCTCCTGACCAGGGTTAAACTAACAAAACTGTTGCTATGACAACAACTCTCAGATCAGTTTAGAAGAACGAAACGATTCTAAATCATGTCAAATCGTCAATAACCAAATCCAGCTAACTGAATAATCCACCTACGAAGAAGGAACCCCTGGTTTATAGTGGAAATTTACATTTAATTCTGATTAAAAGCAATACTGTTATAGTTTGTCTATATCTAAGGTGTACATTGTGGTGTAAATAAATGTGATTTGACTTCTCTTGACTAGTGCCAAATTGCAGAGCTTGTGAAAACGTCCAAATTGCTTTTACGAGATGATGCTGTTTTCTCACCACTGGTGTTTTAACATGTTTATACTGTAATTGACAGAAAATATTTACATATTCACCTAAATGCCAATCCCAACAGCATATTTACTACTCAGACATTTCAAACTTTTTTTATTCCTATCTTCGCTGTAATAATATCGGGGCCTACTGCAGCATGAAGGTTGCATTATTTCTTGGTGGTGATGAGAGTCTGGTAGATTGGCTTTACTATGATGTGGAAGTAAAGCGATCCGTCCACCACATACTCGGATGTTCGTAACTGCAGGTCAGAATCCGCCAGAAAGTCCCCGACCTCCTCTGTGCTTTGGTGGAAACCGAGGATATGCCGCACCACAAGCTTGCCCTTCTGCCTTGTCAAGACGAGCACAGTCTTCTGGAAATTCACACCCGCAAAGTCAGCACTGGAAGTTGCAGGAGTGATGATGATCCTTGGCCGGGCGATGCCACTTCCCCCATCTGGCCGCGGCGGCTGCATTGCCCCCTGTTCAGTATACATGGGCCGCATGCTAAGGGGGAGCCAACGGGGCGAAAACAAGGCATTCCATGTGACACGCTTACTAGAGTCAAACCCACTGGGACCCAATTGAGTCTGGAAACTGGTGCTGCGGTCATCCCGTGCTGGGTTGTTTATGATCCACTGAGCGCCCCACATGGATGAGAGGTAATTGCGGGGCACAAAGAGGCTGCAATTCATGTCGAAAAACTTGGCCAGTTGAAGTGGAGAGGCTGAATGGAATTGGTAGGACATGTAGAGGAGGTCACGGACAGATTCATGGTAGCGCGTCATGATCGGTGACTGTCGTTGCAAACGAAAAAGCTCACGTGGAGGGATCATGGCGTAACGCACTAAACGAAGGGCATTTTCTGCTGTCAGGCTGTCTGGGTTGTTTTGGGTGAGCCATGTTTCAACTGCCTCAAACAATTCCAGTTCATTTTTCAACACTAAATCGGAGCGCTGTAGGAGAGTCATTAACAATTCGATGCTAACCAATGGCCATTCTGGACTCTGAAGCACTGACGACAGATTCCAGGACAGAAATTGAAGGCAGTTGTCTTTCAGTGTCATATCGCCCACTTTTGTGGCGTACTGGTACCAGCCCACCACATGTCCGGTGGGAGAGTCGCTAGCAAGGTTCTGGCTCATGTACTGGGTCAGTCCTTGCTGGAGGCCAGAGATGGCGTATTTGGTGGCCAGACTGTGCAGTGGCGTGGCCTGGTCTAACTGTAAGGAGAGCTCACCGCAGTAGAGATATCTGAAGAACAGAAGAACAGGAGTTTGTTAAACATGTTATCGCACAGGAATTTTACATATGTGACTAGGCAAAGGACAATAACAGGTTTACTGCGGTTTACTGCGGTTTACTGCGGTTTGGAAAAGTTCACTCATTCATGTAATTACCTTCTGCTTAGTCTCTGATTGAGATTGAGAGGAATGAACCACCAACTTATTCCAGCATATGTTTTACGCAGCAGATGCCAAACCAGGTGCAATCCAGTACTGGGAAACACCCACACACTCTGGCATTCGCACACACACACACACACACACACACACTCATACACTATGGCCAATTTAGTTCATCCAATTCACCTCTAGCCCATATTTTTGGACTGTGGGGGAAACCGGAGCACTTCGAGGTAACCCACGCCAACACGGGGAGAACATGCAAACTCCACACAAAAATGCCAACTGGCCCAGCTGGAATTCAAACCAGCGACCTTCTTGCTGTGAGGAGACTAACCACTGCTAACCACTGAGCCACTGTGCTGCCGGGTTTGTAAAACTCACAGTTTTAAAATTGCTTAAAATTTTTGTTACACTTTTCCCTATCTAAGATTTTGTCAAACACTATTTTATTTATTTTTTAGGGCTACAGTATTTCCAGCAGCAAAGGCCAATGGCTTATACAACTCCATATATCAATTATACTCCAGTGGCTTATTACAGTAGGTGAGTTGGGTAAGCTAAATTGCCTGTAGTGTATAGTATGTGTGTATGTCCTGGTCCTCCAAGTTGGGGGTTGGGCATTGGGCTAACAACCCACCTCATAAAAAAAATAAATGTTACAAAACACCGATATGGTGCGGCTAAATATCAACTTCTATATTAATGGCCCTAGGAGTAAATAAATAAGTAAGTATTAAGGTTTACTGTTCCAAAATATTCTTTAAAAATATGTGTTTAATGGGGGGCATTGATTTTTACCCAGACATTTAAAAAGATAATATTTTAGAGCAATAATCACAATACCGTAAAACCGTGATCTTAAGGTTATCATATCATCAGAATCTTATACCGGTGTCCTGATATTTTATCCTACCCATCAGATTATGCTACCAACACTGTATTGGATGGTTCTGAGGTTGGGGTTAGGGATTAGGTAGGTTAGGGTGGTATTACAGCTTCATATCACACTACTTCACATACAATTTGCACTCGTAGCAAAATCTGATGGGTAGCATACTGTATCATCAAAATGTGCAACCTACTATTTTAATGGGAGTCAGGACAATCTGACAAGGTAGGACAACAGAACACTGGCCCATGACTATTTGTGACCCTATTGACCTTATTCTAAAATGCAGAAGTGCGCCTGTTTTCGCGACTGTCTTAGAACTTCCGATTTAGTCGCCTATGGGAGAAATGACTAGGAATAATAAACGGCAAAAATGGCCAAACTACTTGCTCAACAAACAAATGTTTGCATGACTACACAGACCAAGTAGCATAATATAAGAAAATATTAAATTGCAACATCAAGCAGCGTAACGAGCAGTTGTTAACGTCAAAAAATGAATGGAAGTGAATGTGACCGGAAGTCGCGAGACAAAAAGATTCAAATGGCAGCGCCCACTCGTCGGCGGAGAATAAGGTGAATAGGCCACAAAACCAGTCATACGGGGTAGATTCTTTGAAACATAAGCTTTAGAAATCATCTGAAAGTTAAATAAATAAGCTTTTCATTTATTTATTGTTTGTTAGAGGACAATATCTGGCAGAAAAATCAACTGTGAAAATCTGAGGGTTTAAAAAAGCTGAGAAAAACACATTTAAAGCTGTTTTAAATCCACCGCTTCCAATGTTATCACTAGATTGAAAGGGCCTTATCAGTGGTTATCAGCTGATAGATATGAGCCAGTAGGGGCCCTTTGCGTCTACTAGTAGGCTCAGAAGGCTGTTATCATCCATCCACATTAATCAGCTATACTAATAGAGAAGACTCCAGATCCAGATCTGTTTTTACATTACTGTGTCAGTTGGGTTTAGACGGGGTTGGGGTAGACGTTAATAACATACAATTGATGGGAAATTTAATAAATAATATAAATAATTCTCGTTGTTAATCAGCTATACTAATAGAGAAGACTCCAGATCCAGATCTGTTTTTTAACATTACTGTGACAGTTGGGTTTAGGGTTGGGGTAGAGGTAAACATTAATAAAATACATTTAATAGGAAATTTTATAAATAAAAAAAATAATTCAAGTTAACTTCCTGCCACAGCCAAATGTGATCTATAGCTGATTAACCATGTATATGGATGATAACATGCTAGAAGGCGCAGAAGGCCCCTACTGGCCTATATCTATCAGCTGATAACCACCGATAACACCCATTTAATCGAGTTATAACACTCGAATCAGCTGTCCAAATCCATGTTTGGCAATGCATTTTAGTAAACAAAAATTATGTTTTGATAGATTTACATAAAAGAAATGGACAAAATATCTTAATAAAACATCATCTTCACCTTATATTCTAATAGCTTGTAGGGAAAATCAATGATTTTGACTCATACGGTGTTTCTTTGATGAAACAATCTAAAACTAAAAACAAAGATTAGTAAATACCGTTTTATATTTTTCCAACACAAAAAAAGATATTCTTATTATAATAATCTAATACATTAACATAAAACAAAATTTACATGTGGTGGTGTTTGCGGAAGTTTTGAGAATGCTGCAGTACTTTTTTTTGGCTGTGGTACAATTCCTTGTTCTGTCATTCCAATTCAAATTGTAATTCCTCCTCTTCTGGGGTGTGTGCATTCAATTCACTTTTCATTTGTTATTGAAAGCAAGCCAATATTGTCGAGTACATTGTAATGTATATTTACAGGCTCTCCCAGGTGTGATATCTGTGTACTCTGTGACCAAACCATGTTGTTACCTGATTAAATAATATGCATTTTTGCTCTTATGAATATATAAACATCTAACAACGAGTGTTGAGTTAGCTTTTTTCTGTTTTTATTTTTGCATTTATTTTTTGCAATTCTTTCATGCTGTCTGCAACATTAATTTGCCCCATTTTCCTTTTAAAAATAACTGATTGTATCTCTGTCGTCTTATCTTTTGGATCACCATAAAAGAAATCAAAGCCCAAACAAAATAAATGCTCTTGTCTCTACATGCTAGCCCTGCTCCATCACTGTAACTTCACCCTGTTTAGCTCTTATCATGATAAAGCTGTTTTATATAAGAGGAGAGAGTCCATTTGTAAATCACTCTGTTATGTTGTTGGGGTTTAACCTGCTGCAGTTCCACTGATGGCCAATAGAGAGTGTGTTACACGTGTGGGATGGGAATGTTCTCAAAAGCTGTCATGTCCAAACATGTTTTAAGGTTCACATGTTGGGAGGTTAAAGAACTACAGGAGTTTTCCCCCCTAAAATGTACTATTTGCTGTGAGTTTTATAAAATTCATCATGAACATCATCACCTCACATGCATGCTTTTTCATTTAATTTAAATTAATACAGAATGTGTTTTAGAAAAGAGAGTTATTTTTTTATTTGAAAGTATTTCAAATGTTATTATATAAAGACATAAGATAATGTAGTCAGAACTTATTTTTACTTTATTTTTGAATCAATACTTTGATTTCATTTAACTGAAATATAAACCAAATGCACTCAATACTTACATTTATTAAAATGTTATTTTATTTTACTAAAACACATATTGAAAGAATGTGCCTAGTACACGTTTTATTTGTCATTTTAGTTTTTATTATTTTTATTTTATTGCATTTTATTTTATTCTATTTTATTGAAACACTTATTGAAAGAATGTGCTTAGTACATATTTAGTTGTTTTATTAATATTTAAAAAAGAAATTTTAGAAAAAGAGTCAATTTTTAAATGTATTAAACTTTTGTTTCATTGAGAAAAAATGGTAAGAACTTTTTATTTTATTTTACTATTATTTTATTTTATTTTATAAATGTTTTATTTTATTTTAATTCGCCCAATACTTAGATTTTATTTAACTGAAACCTAAATAGAACATGCTCAGTGCCTAAATTTATTACATTTTTATTTTATTTTATTTTATTTTACTTTATTTTATTTTATTTTATTTTATTTTATTTTAAAGCAACCTAAACCTAAACCTAAACAGATGTATCATTTATTGCATTTTATTTTATTGAAACACTTATTAAAAGATTGTGCTAAAGACATTTTTATTTGTTTTGATAACATTTAATAAAAGAAAGTTTAGAAGAAAAAGTGTTTTTAATGTATTTAAATTTCCATTTTTTAAAACAAATGATAATGTGGTCAGAACTTTTGATTTTATTTTTGATTTTATTTTTTATTATTATTTTATTTTTAAAGTAATTTGCCCAATACTGTGATTTTATTTAACTGTAACATAAACAAATCATGCTCAGTGCCTACATTTATACATTTCTTTTTACTGAAGCACTTATTGAAAGAATGTGCTCAGTACATACAGTACATTTTAGTTGGTTTATTAAAATGTTTATTAAATTGTATTATTTTAACTCAAACCTAAAAATGTTCAAATGCGAATGTAATGTAAAACAAAACATGTACTGTCCAATAGAGACAACAGCAACTGAACTATTCCGCATTTGTGTTCCACAAAAAAGCATAATAAATAAATAAAACTGTAAATTAATTTGAAGCAGTCCAAAAAATGACATGCCTTTTCTTTAACCCATATATAAAACAAAATCCAATCATCTTTCCCTTATCAGTGCTTCTCACCTGATGAACTTGTCAAACACAGCAGTGCATTCAGCTGTTTCCTGCAACACAAGTGTGCTGCTGTTGCGCTTTCTCAGCATCTCCTCAAACACTCGGCTCTGCATTGAAAGCACCAGCGTGTGGGCTTGGATCACCTTAACCTCATCTGCATCCACTGTCTCCACACGTAGGGAAATATCACTGTTATTCCCCAGCAAGAGGAGACCCTCTAGCCGAGCCACCAGACCCTGAGAGTGACTGATCACTTCTGCGGAGCCTTCAACCAGTCCTTCTGCTCTTAATCCTGTAAAACAAGGTGAAAACATGCTTTAAATTTGCTGATATTGAGTAATACAATATGTCAGGAATAACTGATGACAGGTTGCTGAACTACTAGAAAATACTGAAGAAATCATTCAGCGTAGTTACATGGAACTGTAATGCGGCCAAGACCTGCCTGGAACTATTTTAGCTTTGTATTTATATGAAAATTATTGCACGCTTTAGGTTTGTCCATCAGCCAATCTGAATCAAGCATTCAACAGCATCATAATATAGAGTCCAAAAATGCACAACACAGGGCGGCACGGTGGCTCAGTGCTTAGCACTGTCGCCTCACAGCAAGAAGTTTGCTGGTTTAAGTCCAAGCTGGGCCAGTTGGCATTTCTGTGTGGAGTTTGCATGTTCTCCCTGTGTTCGTGTGGGTTTGCTCCGAGTGCTCAGTTTTCCCCCACAGTCTACAGACATGCGCAGTATGAATGAATGTGTGTAAATGTGAGAGTGCATGGGTGTTTCCCAGTACTGGGTTGCAGCTGGAAGGGTATCCACTGCATAAAACATATGCTGGAATAGTTGGTGGTTCATTCCGCTGTGGTCATCCCTAATAAATCAGAGACTAAGCTGAAGGAAAATGAATGAATGAATGAATGGACAAAATTATTACGTTTTTGAGGGAACAAATTATGTTTTATGTTCAACACACTCAATGTTGCATGAATGAATGCATTATTGTGGAACCCAGCATTATTTAAATAAGGAATAATGGTAACACTTTAGTGTAAGTGTCAATTATTAATATTAACAAGCTTATTACCTGCCTATTATTAAGATATTGGCAGTTATTAGTACTTATTATAATCTGCATGATTTTATTCCACATCTATTCCTACCTACTTTCCAGCAAATTAGGAGTTTATTGAGGCAAAGTCCTAGTTTATGGTTTATTGAAATCGAAAAAATTTCCTTAAGAGAAAATGTGGACAGAATAATTAATGGCAGGCTGTTGAATTATTTGTAATTACTGTGTGATAATTCAATGGACTTGAGTAAGATATTCTACTGTACAAAAAACAATTCCGTAAAACTTAGGGTTAAAAAAATGCAAGCTGTGTTTATATACAGTAAAATACAGTAGAAACTTTGACAATTTAACGGTAAACTACAACATTAATTAATAGTAATATACACAAGTGTTTTGAAGTACTAATATCTACACCTCTTTGTTACACAGACAGACAACTCGAGTGCATCTCGTTTAAATACACTATGGGGTTACTTATTCTGAGGTCCCTACAGACTGTGCAACATCATTGATGTGATCCAAGACCTGCGAAGAGATGACCCAGAAGTATCCATAATCCTGGACCAGGTCCGTATCCCAAGCTTGTTGAGGAATGGAGATTAGAGATTGTTTCCAAAAAGACCACTGTGACAGACGAGTCTCCGCATTGATCCTGTTGGCCAGCCTGACCTCCTGCCAGTGCCCTCTTCAAACCTGCAGCTTCTCCACGATAGACGTCCAGCACCTCCAGCCTCCAGCACCTAGACTGCATCTTCACACAGGAAGTTTGGCCAGAAGAATAATGGTCGTTCTCAACAGAGCCTGGTTTCTCTCGAGGTGTTTTTTTCCCTTCACTTCGTCAATTGGTTAAGTTTTTTTCCTTGCCCTGGCTTGCTTGGATCGGGACTTGTGGAGCTGCGCATCATTGGATTTGCTCTACAGTTTTTGAACTTTCAGCAGTGAAATTTAAACCACTTTGAACTGAACTAAACTGAACTCTGAAATCTGGACTTTACTAGCAATATGTTAAGCTGCTTTGACACAATCTATATTGTGAAAAGCGCTATATAAATAAACATGAAATGAATTTAATTGAATATTAATAATTAAGATATTGGCAGTTTAGGTGACGCAGTGGTGCAGTAGGTAGTGCTGTCGCCTCACAGCAAGAAGGTCGCTGGTTTGAACCTTGGCTGGGTCAGTTGGCGTTTCTGTGTGGGTTTCCTCCGGGTGCTCCGGTTTCCCCAACAGTCCAAAGACATGCGGTACAGGTGAATTGGGTAAGCTAAATTGTCAAGCTAAAAAGTACAGTACATACAGTAAACAGATTGTTTGCTTGCCCAGAAGGGAACAAGTGTATTAAAACTGAATGTGTCTGTCAAGTCAATCTGCACTGTCATGATCATCCAACTTCCGTTGAGCCTTTTCTTGAAAACTGGACTGGGTGTCGTTGCATAGTTCCAGGAAATGCCATCATTGTGCTTGCATTCGTTTGCTTTGGTGTTGTGTGTGCGTGTGAACCAACCGTTTATAGTGCCCTGGTTTCCTATTACTAGTTACCACTTAAAGCATGGCCATTATGATTCATAAAACAGGTCCATAGCGAAATACAACATAATGACAGAAATCAAAGGAAAAGCATAATGATGATTAATATGTTCATCAGATTTAAACAATATAATTGTCTTTTACACAATTAAGTCAATCATTGACTTTGATAGAAAACATAATAGTGGACATTATTTTTCATGCTAGAACACGCTGTTGGGTTTTAAGTATTAAGGAAGTCCATCTTCATATAAAAATGCACAGTTCAAAACAGTTTGCAAGATTACCATATTGCCTATGCACATACCCGTCAACCCTCCCATTTTTTCCCAGAATTCTCCCCTATTTTACAATTCTATCCCATAAAGGTATTTTCCCGTATTTCTCCCGTATTTTTAATGTTTCTCTGAAGGGTGGCTTTTATTTTATTTAGGCATGAAAACACTTTGAAATAAATATAAAAACGACGGGATTCCCTTCCTTTCTATTACAGGGACCATCACCCCTCCTATACAACCCTTAAAACAGTCCGTTTATGTAGCAGTGCGTGACTATCAGACGTGCTCCTTAGTGATAAATAGACTCTGTTTCCCAAACGGTTTCTTTACACGCCATTTGAAGCAGAACAAAAGTGGACACACTGGGTTTTGGATGCGTGTTTGAACAGACATATACACACAAAAAATATATATTATTAATAATAATAATAATTATATAAAAACATGTCAATCTTTTTTATATAATCCACAACACATTTTTTCTAAAATGAGCATAAACAGTTAGAAAAGCAATCGAATGCTTTCATTGTGGATCTGTGCAGGTTTTAAGTGATCAAGTGACACCTCTGTTATTGAATGTGATCAAGCTTAAATCTAAAGGAGAGGTTCATTCGCTGCTCTTTAATCAGAATGTATAAATTATACTGTGAAGAAAAGCTTAATAAGATTTAATAACTTGTTCATTTTCTTTATGATAGCTAGTCATTTTAATAGGCTAAACTTTAATTTATTTGCAGCTTTTTCTAAAGCATGCTATTTATTCTATCATTTGTAAAGAATAATAATAAAAACATTATTTACACTCAAACAGATTGAGCTATTTGAGAAATTATTATTATTTTTTTTACTAATGTTGACAGGTATGCCTTTGCACACTGACGCAGAGATATGTGTAACATTGTTAACCTATGTATAAAACTGGAGGAACTGATGTAACAATGGTTTTAGAATCTTTTTTTTTTTCCTTTTCTTTTCTGTCTTTTATTTGTATTGCTTTAAAGTCAAAATAAAAATATAATATTCACAAAAGACGATATGTTGAAGAATGTTTGAAACTATAGGCATTGACATCCAATCTAGAAAAAAATAGAATGGAAGTCAATAGCTACAAAATTTCAGCATTCTTCAGAGTATCTCCTTTTGTGTTCAAAAACTTAAACTGGCTTGGAAAAAGTGGAGAGTCAATAAAACTGTGACTGAATTTTCCATATACATTTTCTGTTGTTGTTTTTAACACAAAAAAGGATATTTTAAAGAATGTTGGAGACTAGTAGGCGTTGACATCCATTGTAGAAAAACTAGAATGGAAGTCAATAGCTACAAATTTTCAGCATTCTTCAAAATATCTCCTGCTGTGTTTAAAAACTCAAACTGGCTTGAAAAAAGTGGACAGTGAGTAAATTGTAACTGAATGTTATATGTTTTCTGTTGTTGTTTTGAACACAAAAGAAGGTATTTTGAAAAATGTTGGAGACTATAGGCATTTACATCTAAAACTAGAATGGAAGTCAATAGCTACAAATTTTTAGCATTCTTCAAAATATCACCTTTTGTGTTCAAAAACTCAAGCTGGCTTGGAAAAAGTGGACAGTCAATAAAACTGTGACAGAATTTTTCTTTCTGGGTGAATTATATCTTTAAAACCAGTCTCTTAACATGCACATTTTGAAATTATAGACTTCTTTAAAGATTTATTTTATCGCCTGGAGAAAAAAAAAGAGTACAAAAAGAGTCATCTTACCTCCTCGAACAGGTCGCAAAAGAGACCCGGCGACCAACATCGAGAAGAACAGGTAAACGAAGACAAGCTCATTCCTCCTAACACGAGCCATCTTTTCTCCTCCAATGTGTATTTCTTTCTCTCTTTCCTGACTCTATTCTATATTTCTATTCTATTTTTATCTCTTCTCAACCTTCTACTCTTCCTTAATTTGATCGTCTTTCTTCAGTTTCCACCTCCTCCTCCTCTTCAGTGGATAATGGATGGTCTGTTGGCTCCCTGTATGTGGCATATAGACTATGGCGCATAACTAGTATGTAGGTTACTGGTTGTTTTGGGTTAGTTCCTCCCTCACAATATCCTATCGATCAGTGGAACCTATGGGGGGTGGGGAGTTCGTTTTGGTGGGCAGGAACGGCAGTTGCCATGACGACGGCTTTGATTTTGACTTTTCTCTTTTTCAATGTTGTATGACACAGATCCAGAGGAGGCCTCAGCTGATCGGGCAGAGCGAGCGTGGAATTATAATCAGGAGTTGTAATTGTAACGGAGGACTGCAGGTGTGTTTATGCAAATGTGTCTACATGCATAATTGAATGTAGCCTCTTTCACTGATACTGTATCCTACAGTGAAAATGACTCTCTTTGCAAGTTATAAGTTGCAACAGTAACAGTGTTAGAGCATTCATTTTAGCAGTACTAACGTATTTCACTCATGCTAAACATTCAGAATTAGAGAATAATTTATGTACATTTGAATTATTTCAGTAATAATCTAATTGTTGCTCAAAGTTTAATGGAATTTTAGTTGTGGTTATAGCAAACAAGTTTATTAATCAACAAATTAACCAAGTTACTTCAGCAAACACACTCTATTTTGAGGAAAACAGTGATCAGAATTGTGGAACAGCAAAGATTGTGTCAAGAAAAAAGGTTACTTCCGTCATCTCTGAAGTTAATAACCATTAAAAATCTCTAGTCTTTCAATTGACTGCACTAGTCACCAGCATGGGCAAACTCTTTCCTGGAGGGCCAGTGTCCTGCAGAGTTGAGCTCCAACCCTAATCCAACCTGCCTGTACCCAGCAGGCACAAGATGTCAACGTGACATCAGATCGACGTTGTACCCCAACGTTGTGGGATGTTGCATTTTGTTTGGAATTGAAAATTGGGTTGATGTCAGAACCCATCAGGCTGCATCCATTAATGTCCAACGTTGCTCACTTTCCAACACAACCTAAAAACAACAATATATCAACATCTAATGATGTTACAGCTTGACGTTGTGTGGCTGTTACCAATATGACGTCTATCAGACGTTGGATCTTAGTTGACATACCTGACAAATAAGGCCAAATTCCAATTCTACCCCTTGGTCATTCCCCTTACCCCACCCCTCGAGCCTAAATGTCAGTATTTGATGTCAGTATCTGATTTCAAATTTTGGTTTAAGATGGCTCAACGTTGGATTTTGGTCACTTTCTAACACAACCTAAAATCAACAAAATATCAACAACCTTTCATGTCAGTATTGGACATCAAAATAACATTATCCTTAGATGCTGGCTACCTAAATTTAACCTAATATTAACATTGTTTGGTGTTGGAGCAAAACTGCAGGACACCGGCCCTCCAGGACTAAGTTTACCCATCCCTGCAGCACATCACCAGTCTCTCTCATACTGGTATGCTGTGAGTTGATCAGATCTTCTTCAGTCTTTTCTACAGTTCACTGGGGGCAGGGGGCAGTTCAATACGGGAGACTCCCGGGACAAACGGGAGTGGTGGCAGGTATGATATACAGCTGAAGTCAGAATTAATTGCCCCCCTGAATTATTAGCCCCCTATTTATTTTTTCCCCAATTTCTGTTTAACGGAGAGCAGATTTTTTTTAAAAATACATTTCTAATCATAATAACTTTATTAACTCTAATTAATTTAGTAATTAATTTCTAATTACTGATTTATTTTATTTTTGCCATGATGACAGAAAATAATATTGAACAAGATATTTTTCAAGACACTTCTATACAGCTTAAAGTTATATTTAAAGGCTTAACTAGGTTAATTAGGTTAACTGTGCAGGTTAGGGTAATTAGGCAAGTTATTGTATAACGATGGTTTGTTCAGACTATTGAAAAAAAATACTGCTTAAAGGGGCTAATAATTTTGTCCTCAAAATGGTGTTTAAAAAATTAATAACTGCTTTTATTCTAGCCGAAATAAAACAAACAAGACTTTCTCCAGAAGAAAAAATATTATCAGACATACTGTGAAAATTTCCTTGCTTTGATAAACATCATTTGGAAAATATTTAAAAAAGAGAAAAAAAAAAAATCAAAGGGGGGCTAATAATTCTGACTTCAATTGTATATGGATTTTTTTTAAATTAATATGACAATTTAACTGAAAGGCCTAAAAAGATCAAATAATAAATAGAACTTTTAAAAAACTACCCAAATGATAAATCACATGCTCTAACGATCAAATAGTAAATAAAATGCATTCTCAAATGAGAAATCAAACCTTCAAACTATAACTCAAATGGAGGAATCAGTTTCTGGTTTACACACACACACACACACACACACACACACAGCTGAAAACTCATGATGGGCTGATTACTAACTATAAAGAAACCTTATTCTCAGTCCTGTTTACCATTATTCTTGTTTTACATCCTGTCCTGTGTTAAATTCTGTGTCTAATAAATGTTACATTTGTCTTTTTTTTTATTGAACTATACTTGTTTGTTCTGATAATGTATTATTTATTAATACCAATTTCCAAAAGAGTTTTTTCTTCACTCAACTTTAGATATTTATGGTCAGTGCAACTGATGTTTTCAAAAGTTGAGTAAACAAAAAAACAAACAAACAAACAAAAAACAAAATGAAATAAGGATTTTTTTTTGTTCGCTCAACTTCAAGCATTGCGGTGCAGTAGGTAGTGCTGTCGCCCCACAGCAAGAAGGTCGCTGGGTCGATCCTTGCCTCAGTTGGCATTTCTTTGTGGAGTTTGCATGTTCTCCCTACGTTTGTGTGGGTTTCCTCCGGGTGCTCCGGTTTCCCACACAGTCCAAAGACGTGGTACAGGTGGATTGGGTATGCTAAATTGTCCGTAGTGTATGAGTGCGTGTGTAAATGTGTGTGTGGATGTTTCCCAGAGATGGGTTGCAGCTGGAAGGGCATCCGCTGCGTAAAAATGTGCTGGATAAGTTGGCAGTTCATTCCGCTGTGGCAACCCCAGATTAATAAAAGGACTAAGCCGACAAGAAAATGAATGAATGTACTTCAAGCATTCCAGTCCTGCAGACAAAAAATGTTCAGTTGGCACAACTTAAAAAGTTTTGTTACAGAGTAGTTCACCTCTCCAGAAGACTAACAATCTTATGTTAACCCAACTAAATGTTTTTTATATAAGTGACAAATAATTGTATGTCAGTGCAGCTAATGTTTTCAAAAGGGAACAACAAAAAGCAAAAGCAAAAAAAAGGATCATGTTTGTTTGTTTGTTTGTTTGTATGTTTGTTTGTTTGTTTGTTTTTGTACTGGCTTACCTTTTTTACAGTGCAGCTTTCTTCAAAATATCTTTTTTTGTGTGTTTAACAGAATAAATAAAGTCAAACAGGTTTGAAACAAGTGAAGAATGAGTAAATGATGAATTAAATAAATTTGGGTGAAATTTGGGTGAACTATTCCTTTCAGTTTTTATTCTGTGCTTCATAAAATAACTCAAGACATCTGCTTAAAACTGCTCTTTACTTCTTTTATGGGATAACTTCAAACAAGACTAAACAGTGAACTCACTTGTAGGCTTCTCTAATTTTGATCTCCACTTGTCCATATGTGTGTTTAATCTTAGGGATCAGTGGTTTGTTCAAGTATGCTCAGTAGTAATAGGCCTGTCTAAACATGACACTCAGAAGTATTTGAGACCCTTGTACATTGTATTTTTCTGTCAAGCGTCGAGCCAGACACGCAGCCAGACCGAACATGTGGATCCTGTTACATGCTGTCCGCACTCAGAATCAAAAGAAGGATTGGAAGTCTATTTCTCCCTCTGTATGTAAGGACATCCAGACGCTGCAGAGTTCTCTAGTTAGAGGTTATGTCACTTGTTTACTGCCAGTCAAAGGAGCTGTGAAAATGTGCTGAGAGAGCCTGAACCTTGGCTGTGTGACAAGGCAACAGATATGAGTGTGTGAGTGTAGGGATGTGCATGCGTGTGCCGTGCATGTGTAAGATGAACATCCAAGTAAAATTTGGGTAAATCATTTACTCGGGAGAAACCCTAGAGCTACTATCAGGCTGATTGTGACCCTGATTGCGATAAATGGATTCCTCTTAGGGCTAGATCATAGAGCATTCGCTTGGGTGAATAATAACAAATTGATTTGATTTTAATTGGGACAAAGAAATGCAAAGTTTAACAGACCTGATAAAGAGGACACAAATAATTCAGCGTTAATTAATATAGTTTTGTACATCTTAGGCTGCATTTATTTGATCAAAAATACTGTATAAAATTGTAGTTGATTTGTAAAATGTAGTGTTTGTTTATAAAAATGTAGTTTGTTTGTAACAGGTTTTTCAGAATCCTCACTCCAGCCATCAGATCCTTCATCGATCATATTAACATGTTGAATTGAAACCCAAATATCCCTAATACATGCTTAAATGTAAACAAGAGAAGGGAACTTTATTTCATTGTATGTGGGAGTTTTCTAAAGTCAGTTGTTTTGGGGTTAAAGTACAAATCATTGGTAAAGTAAATCCTCTTGATCCCAGCTTGTGTATATTGCATAATTGTCCATTGAACTTTAATGTGACCAAACATGAAAGATTGCTGTTAATTTTATGTTTGCTGGAAGCTAAACATATACAGTGCATCTGGAAAGTAATAATAGCGCTTCACTTTTTCCACATTTTTTTATGTTACAGCCTCATTCCAAAATGGATTAAATTCATTTATTTCATCAAAATTCTACACACAAAACCCCATAATAACAATGTGAAAAAAAGATTTTTTGAAATGGTTGCAAATTTGTTAAAAATAAAAAAAACCTGATAAATCACATGTACATCAGTATTCACAGCCTTTGCTCAATACTTTGTTGATGCACCTTTGGCAGCAATTACAGCCTCAGTTATTTTTGAATATGGTACCACAAGCTTGGCACATCTGTCTTCGGGAATTTTTGCCCATTCCTCTTTGCAGTACCTCTCAAGCTCTATCAAGTTGGATGGGAAGCAACGATGTACAGCCATTTTCAGATCTCTCCAGAAATGTTCATTAGGATTTAGGTCTGGGCTCTGGCTGGGCCACTCAAGGACATTCACTGTGTTCTTGTGAAGCCACTCCATTGATATTTTGTTGGTGTGCTTTGGGTCATTGTCCTGCTGCAAG